CATCGTCTCCGATTTGTATATCAGCTGTGTGTAGCTCGCCTGAGAAAAATTCATCAAATCATTCGTTGACAATAATTGCAGTTTGTTTGTCCCCGTCATTCTTACTGTTATCCATAAAAAGATTTTCATAGTACTCCACAAAGGCATTAGCTTTATCGAGGTCGCTGTCCAGAACCGTGTTACCTTGTTGTATCATTGGGATTGGTAATTTTGCTGCCTTATATTTACTCAATTTTTTAATTTCCCATCTCAACTAGCCAATTTGTCTAATATTACTTGATATAGAGTCAAATTCTCTTGAGTTAAAAATAAATCTACAACATGTATTATGAATATACTCTATTCTATTTTTAGTAACTACATTTAAAAATGCATAATACGCAATATAAAAATAGCTATACAGTTAAAAACTCGAATTTTGAGAGTTAGTTTTTAATTTTTTTTATTTTCAATGGTGGTTACAATACAACTGATTTAAACCTAAGTAAAATTAATATTTATAATTATAAGCTTTGCTGACAAAGCGGTTCCCAAGAAATGCAACGGTCGGTCTAGTTCTGAAAACAAAGTAACAAAATGCTGAACTCTAAGTTTATGAAAATGTAACTCCTCCCGTGTAAGTTGAAAGCACGTACTGAAAAATAATTAAAAAATGCCTTCAACTTCATTACTTTCAATTTTTGGGAACTTTCGAATTTTCTTAATGCACAATAAGCTGAAAAAGTAAATTAAAATTAATATAATGATTAAGTATAATAATATTGTCCAGAGACTGAGGCGATTTGAATAAATCGTCGTGGTTGACATTTCTTCAAGTTTCTTCTTTTGTTCATGAAGTTTTTCTTTTATGTCTTTGGATGTCTTGACGTTAATGATGTTCAAATCCAATGAAGGTAGGTCGTAGGGCATTGATTGGTTATAGTTAATCAATGATAGGTCCAATATCGGTAAATTGACTTCTTCAAAAGAGAGTCGACTTGGCTTGAAGCTCTCGAGGGTGGTTGATTGTATTTTGGCTTTACAATCAACTGGCACTTCTAGTAGGTAGGATCCGAAGATGGGTACAGTTTCCTTTAGGTTTTGATAGTTCGTTGAACTTTTAAGTGAAATAGGAACTGTAACGAGCCATTTTCCATCAATAATTTTGGTTATTTGTGGTGCGTGCAATTGAACTTCGAAAGGATGACAAGATGTGATGTTTGTACTGTATTTAATCAGCTGTACTTCGCATGGAAGGTAGTTTTCGATAAAGGTAGTACGGGCTTCTTGACATAGGTATTCGTCAGGCGAGATTTCTTCACAACGTTGATCCATATAGGAGTATTTGACGTCACTAAGTGCTAGGTATGGCTTATGTGGGATGTTGACGAAAAAGGTTTGATTATGGTTTGTTGGGATAGGTAATGGATGTAGATTGAAGTATTGATACACATCCGCTTCTACAAGTGGGAGTTCCAATATAAATATGACATTAAAATCTTTTAAGAAACATTTAATTTGTAGAAATTTCTCGAAAATCAGTATATTTTCAGGTACTGGAGAAATTGGTAACCTATCCGGGTTCAAATGTGATTCGACATTTTTAATTTCAGATAAAAGTTCGTTTGGGTTCACTATCGAGTTATGTAAGGTGTTAAGTTTGGAAAAACTTATAGCTACTTCCAATTTATCAAGAATACTATAAATTGATTGATACATTAAAGTAATTTGATTAATTACTGTGAACGTTATAAAATAACCTCGAATGTTTTGGGTTAGATTAGCGTCTTTAATTACTTGTTCAATTTGTAAAATTCGGGATCGAAGGACCAATTCGTTATGTGTTATATTAGAAATCATTTTATCTAAAAACTACCTAAACATTTCTTTTTAGATTTTCCCGCTCGATTGTCGGATTTTTTATAAACTTGACAACCTACTTTTAAGTTTTGTGAGATTTTGTCTTCGTTTATTTTGTTAATTAGTTTTTCTTTTGATTGTTGGGTTTTGTTAGTAATTTCATCATAAAGTACTTGAGTTTTACTTTTGTGGGTATTAAGATATTCAGTAAATACGTGGGATGATACTAAATTCATAGGGTCTCTAGAATCTGTGTGTCCTAATACGAGTTCGTAGGGACTAAAATTAGTACTAGAATGAATAGTGCAAGTTGTAAGCAATAATAGCGTATGGCATAAGTTTGGTGACATCCGAATCTGGGTCTGATTCTCGCAATATTCGAATATGTTCGATTAGAGTAGAATGTAGCCTTTCGACTGGTGAATTAGATTCGTGGTGATAGGGGGTGGTAAAATGTATTTTTATATTGTGAGCTTTAAAAAGTCCATTGACTACTTCGTTTTTAAATTCCGATCCATTATCAGAAATAATTTGTCTTGGTACACCGAAAAATTGGAAAAAGTGAATTAATTGATCTGCGCACGAAACTGCGTTTCCTGAATAGGGGAGTGCTTGAGCAATTTTGGAAAATTTATCTAATAACGTGAGGAATTTTTGTTTGCCTATTATGAAAGTGTCAATATGAATGATTTCAAAAGGTTTACTTGGCGTTTCGGTAAGCACGAGGGGTTGGTCAGGAGGCTTACGATTGTATTTAGTTCTTTGACAAATTTCACAGTTATTGATGTATTTGATAACATCTTGTTTTAAAGATTTCCAATAATAATTGGCCTTTATAAATTTGTGTGTTTCGTCAATACCACGGTAGTTTGTTTTACCTTCGTGTCTGTACTTAATTGTGAGTTCTCGGTCTTCTGGTTGTACGTTATTAATTAACTTCGTACATTCAATTAGTTTTAGGTCTTTAAAGTGATTTTTCATGCATTGTTGGAAATAGATTCTAAGATCTTTCGAAAATAAATAAATGTATGTTGACTTTGTCTGCAGATATTCTCTTAGAAATTTCAAAATAGCTGGAATTTGGGTAGGTAAAGTTGCATAAATGATTTTATTACCATCAAAATTTTCAGGTTCTATTTTAATGTAGGCGTCGTAAGGAGATGTTTTAATAATAAATTGCATTGATTTATTATTGATTATTTCATCTAGCATAGTCATATTTGAGTAATTGTCTACAGCGTCTGTGCTATGCGCTGTTTGAGTTGGAAGGGACTCAATTTCATTTTGGTTTCTCTTTGGATCAATTATAATAGGGGCTTGATAGTTGGCTTTACTTGTGGAAGGACGACTTTCGAAATTTACTGGTGTTCGAATTTGAACGTTCGATACGATATTCACTTTAGGAACTTCAGGAGTTTTTGGAATATCTTCGATTTCTCGTAAGGTTTCTATCACTGCTTCATCTGTGACGCTATTGGGATCGAAACGTGGATCGAGATTTTCGTTTAAAAATTGATTGATATCTTCATCAATGTTTCCGGGAAGATTAATGAGAGATTCAGATTCAATGGCATGTAAGGATATACGAGAAAGTGCATCGGCGTTTGCATTTTGGTTGCCTTTTTTATAAATAATCTCATAATCGTACTCTTCAAGCTTGAGGTGCCATCTTATTAGCTTGGATCCTGGCTCTTTTACGTTTAAAAGCCAGACTAAAGGTCTGTGGTCAGTATATATTTTAAATTTTTGACCGTATAGATAGGGTCGGAAATATTTACAGGCCCAAACAATAGCCCAAAGTTCTTTTTCTATTGTGGAATACCTTTGTTCGGTTTCATTGAGTGTTCTAGACGCAAAAGCGATTGGATGATCGTGAGGTGGATTTCCTTGTGACAAGACGGCTCCAAGGGCGAAATTTGAGGCGTCTGTGGAAAGTACAAATAAGGGCTTTTCGAAATCAGGGTATTTCAGGATAGGTGCATTTATAAGAAGTTCTTTCAAATTATTGAATGATTTTATGAAAGGTTCATTATGAATGACTTTTGCACCTTTTTTAGGCAGAAGGTCAAGGGCTTTGTGATTTTGGCAAAATCCTTGATGAATCGGCGATAATAACCGGCTAAGCCTAAGAAAGATTTTATATCCTTTTGTGTTTTTGGGATTGGAAAATGTCTTACAGCTTCGACTTTGTCGGGGTTGGGTTTAACTCCATCGTTAGTGATTTTATGTCTAAGATATGCAACTTCTTTATGTAAGACTTATCTAGCTGGATTTTAAAGTTTGACTGTCTGAGGCACTCAAAGACGTTACGAAGTCGTTGAATGTGTTCTGTTAGAGAAGTGCTGAAAATTATTATATCATCGAGGTAAACTAAACAAGTTTCGTTCTGTAAGCCTCGGAGAACGTTATTCATGACTCGCTGGAAGGTCGAAGGGGCATTTTTAAGACCGAAGGGCATTCGTTTGAATTCAAAATGTCCGGTGTCGGTGGAAAAAGCTGTTTTGGAAATATCACGGGGATCAAGTTCGATTTGATGAAATCCATTGGCCAAATCGAGTGTCGTGAAATATTGCGCCTTGCCTAATTTATCCAAGATATCGGAAATATTGGGCAATGGGAATTTATCGTCAATCGTTTTATCATTAAGTTTCCGATAATCGATTACGATTCTCCATTTTCTTTTTCCAGTGGCGTCCATTTTTTTCGGGACAATCCATATAGGACTACTCCAAGGTGACGTAGAATGCTGAATTGGCAGGTGGTAGACGTTTTTTACTCATTGGGCGTCGACCGGTGAGATACCACCATGCCAGAATTGAGTAGCGCTAAGTGGTATCACCTCGTTCCGCCACTGCGCTGGCAGTCCGGTTCCAACAATGAGTAACAGATAGCATGATGGCGCCTCCAGGATCAAAATATTCCGGAGGTAAAATACCCGACCACTCGGATCTCTGGGCGTCGGGTGATCCTGGGGGTCCTTCATGCAAAGATATAAAGAGAAGATCAAAAACTCAACTCAGAATTGATTTTAGCAATATAAGAGGAATAAGTACAAATATGAATTCAGTTCACCAACATCTTGAAGAACAAAGACCTGACATCCTTGTTCTCACTGAAACTAAAATCAGTTCTGCAACACCTATTGTGAACTATCTTTATCCCGGCTATGACCTACACCACCGATTTCGACATAATTTTGGGATCTGTGTGTACATTAAAAATGACCTTTCATGTCATCGAGAGGAGAAGCTAGAACCAGCGAACCTTGATATCATATGGCTAAAATTCACCTCAAAGTCATCGACCAAGTTTATCTGCTGCCTCTACCGACCGCCATGTAACACCGAGTACCAAAACTTTTTCGCGATATTATCCGAAAGCTGTGATAGTATACAGTCAAACTATCCACAGGCGGAAATTGTCTTTTTAGGCGATTTTAAAAAGATGAAGTGTTTGATAAATAAATCAAACAATAAGCAAATGTGTTTTGTCAAGTGATTAATCAACGATGACAATGTCAAATTATGACAATAAACAAACAAAAATTAATGAAGTTTTCCAAAGATGCACAAATTCTCTTCGATCCGAAAAGGAAACCATTTATGGTTCCTATTTACCCTGAGTTTCATAGAATTCGTCAGAGGTAAATTACCATTTTTCGACAATCCCGAAGACAAAATAGCCAAATATTGGGAAAACCCATCAAAAAGCGACATTTTAGAAAAAGCCGATAAACTATTCGAAGAAGACAAACACATGGAAGTCTACGAAAGCTTAAATAGAATCAAATATAGGTAAACTGAAGTAAATTTAGATGCTCCAGATTACGAAACCAAGTATTTGGTTTCGAAACATATTATTATGAATGACTATTTTCTAGTAAAGACATCGAAGTAGTCTGGAGATTGGCCAAAGCCCTGTACAATTTATCACTAACTCCGGATATTACAGCCGAAGTGCGAAAAGAAATGATTACAGAAGCACAAGAAATATTGGAAAGCACTTACGCAATGGGTATAATCATTATTTCAAACCGTATATACAAAAATAAATTATACTATAGTTGTTTCAGGCAAAAATAAATCTTGCTTTTACAAATGGATGGCGATCATTACAAACACCAGAAACGGATTAGAGAATTTGGAAACCAAAATTAAAGGTTACGCTACTGTGAAAAATTATTTGAGCGAGGCTTGCGAAAGGAATCCTAGAGATTTTACTGGTATAATATATTACTAAATACCAAAATCCTATTATGAATAAATTCTAGTTCAATACATGTTAGGAAGGTGGCACTTTGAAATGGCGAATTTGTCGTGGTTTCAAAGAAAAATCGCGAAATATCTGTACTTGGAACCGCCAAAGTCGACTTTCCAGGAAGCCTATAGGCACCACATCAAAGCCGAAGAACTTGAACCGAGAAGTTATTTGCCCAACTTGTACATTTTGGGTTGTATTTGTATGAAATTGGGCCAATATTACCGGTAATTTATTGAGTAGGGAATTGAGAAACGATATAAATTGAGTTTTCTAGGGCAAAATACTATTTGAACTTGGCATTGAGCCTTCCGGCTCACAATGAGTGCGAAAAGTGCTGTATTCCGGGCGTGAAGAGTCTCCTAACGAAATTGGAAAAGTACGATTTGGGCAAGGATGTTTTGTACAATTACGAATTCGGATTCGAAAATTAATATTGAAATAAAATATTTTTCTTATGGCAATAGAATTGATAGGCACCTCTACTAAATCAATAAAGACTTCTAAAAATAAGATTTAGATCTAATTACGACATTATCACTATCGAATTACGAATTACACAATAAAATCTACTAGAATGAAGTTGTATTGCAAATAGTTTGATTGTGGGTTGAATTTATAATAAATTTAAATTTAGGATAAATAAATTTGATGTCCCAGTGAAGGATTTTGAAATTGAAGTGGTAGAAAATCCATAATCGTCATTCTGAACCTCATACAATTGTCTTTCAATCAATTATTCTATTTGATAGAAACTCAATTTTAGTTAATAAATTCTAAAAATATAAAGTTACTTTGATTGCTTGGAATATTTTTTAGAAGCGATCCAACATCCAGTTTGAAATTTGACCATAAGACTCCACTTGTATCATAGACAGAAAGCTGAAATTTCCAATGAATCTTATCCTAGTAGAGGACTACAAACACTGCAAATTGAACCTGAAAAATACTTCAGAGTATCAGATCGATTTAAAACTTTCAGGATTTATTCAGGATGTTTTCATCAAACAATGCAAATATGAAGTCAATTTGAAGCTCAGACATAAAATTATGAGGTTTTTCCAACTTAATACTAGAAAAAGTTGGAAAATTTACGTTTTACATATTGTCATTGTGTATTATGCATTTTTAGATGTAGTTACTGAAAATAGAATAGAGTAAAAATGTCCATAATGTAGATTCATTTTTAACTTAAGAGAATTTGACTCTGTATCAAGTAATAGTAGACAAATTGGCTGGTTGAGATGTAATGATAATATGTATAAATTGTATTTATACTAGAAAATTTCTGGATACTGTACCACGACATAGGACTTTATTGTTCCAAAAATCTTGTTCTTATATAATTTCGTTAAATTATACAATGCCCTTGATCCGGAATTCAAGAACTGTACCATCAAAAAGCTTCGAGCTACAAAATTATAAGATATTCCTGCTTAGTACTTGATTACTAGTTTAGTACCTAAATCTAATGATACAAATCTAGTACTTATTGATAGCTTTGTTATTTTGTAGTTAGGATTCCTTGTCTTTGTGATCTTTAGGATGTAATTGGTTAAGGGGGGGTATTATAAAACTTTTTTGATGGATAACTGAAAGGTAACTTTTGGAATTACCATGAGAAGCAACGTCATCCCAGAAACTAACTTTTAGTTATTCTGTCTAAAAAGTTTTATAATACCCACCCTAAGTGGAAGATTACATAGGTAACCATTTTTCTAGTATTTGAGTTATGTCATGAGTGCATGGAAAAACTCAAAGATAATACCCCTTTTCAGAAAAAAGAAAATATCACAGATCCATCAAACCTCGCATTGATGAACAATCAGGATTTAGAAAATCGAACAGTACCAGCACAGCATTGTTAAAAATAAATGACGACATACTGACCTCTTTGGACAGGAATCGAATAACCTTCCTTATCCTTCTAGACATGTCCAAAGCATTTGATAGTTCATTGCTACGCAGATGACATACAGCTTATGTATGATTCAAATTTTCAAGACATCGACAAGGCAATTAGTTCAATCAACAAAGATTTGCGAAGTTTAATCCAATGGACAAATATGAACGGTGTTAAAGAATGTGTCTAAAACTGATGCCCTTATGTTTGAAAGTAAATGAAATGTGAAAGAAATCTTGGCTTGTCAACTTACCTTGAGGAGATTTTGTACCTCTTCTGAAATCATCATCAATGCGCTTTTAAAGTTTATCTGATCTTCTAAAACAATATCAGAACTAACTAATAAATGTACACTTTTATTATGTTTTTCAATTATTCAATTATTGAATTCAATTCAAATTTTTCCAGTAGAAAATAACCACATGAGAAATCTCGAAAATCAACCTACAATAACTGAATTAGTTCAATTAGTTGAAAATACAGTCTCACACATTTCAAAGTTTTCCTGGAAAACTAGTGAAGGGAAAAATTTGAAACTTTTTGTATGTAAAGAAGAATGTTAGAAGGTCATTTTCCTGAAATTTTAGTTTTTTCCAGTGGATAATAGCAACATGAAGAATCTTGGAAATCAACCTACAAAAACTGAACTAATTGAAAATACAGTCACACACATTTCAAAGTTTTCCTGGAATATTAGTGAAGGGAAAAATTTGAAACTTTTTGCATGTGAAGAGAAAGGTTAGAGAGTAATTTTCTCAAAATTTCAAATTTTCCCAGTGGAAAATAACAACATACAGGGTGTCCCACGGTGGATGGCGTATTAGACGTTTATGGAGAACTAAAAAGCGGATCATTTTGAAAATTTGGCAACCGGGATAAATGACCGTGATCTAAACTTTAAAAATATTTTTGTTTATGCGGTGTTGCCGCTTCTACTCTAAACCAGTGGCAACATCGCTATTTTTAATGAAACACCCCGTATTTAATTGCATATTCGGATTCTACATAAAATTCTGAGCAGATTTCATGTGATATACCCTATACCTAAGTTCAACTGTTTTGGAAATATTGACAGTTGAAAATTGACTTTTTGCAACTTTGACAGGCTGTAAAACCTGAACGGTTAATTTTAGAGAAAAATCGATTTTACATTCCTATCTTAGATTTTTATAAACTATCATTTGACACCAATTTTGAATTTAATCCATGATTAAAAATTCCAATTAAATTTAATCTCCGGTTAAATTCAAAGTTGGTGTCAAATGATAGTTTACGAAAATCTAAGATAGGAATGTAAGATCGGTTTTCCTCTGAAATTAACCATTTAGGTTCTACAGCCTGTCAAAGTTGCAAAAAGTCAATTTTCATCTGTCAATATTTCCAAAACAATTGAACTTAGGTATAGGGTATATCACATAAATTTTGCTCAGAATTTTACGTAGAATCCAAATATGCAATTAAATACGGGGTGTTTCATTTAAAATAGCGATGTTGCCACTGGTTTAGAGTAGAAGCGGCAACACCGCTTAAACAAAAATATTTTTAAAGTGTAGATTATGGTCGTTTATCCCGCTTGCCAAATTTTCAAAATGATCCGCTTTTTAGTTCTCCATAAACGTCTAATACGTCATCCACCGTGGGACACCCTGTATAGAATCTTGGAAATTAATTGAAAATACTGTCTCACACAATTCAAAGTTTTCCTGGAATACTATTGAACGGAAAAATTTGAAACTTTTTGCACGTAAACAGGAAGGTTCGAGACTCATAATTTCAAATTTTTCGATTGGAAAATAACAATTCATGGAATTTAACTTACAAAAACTGAAATAATTGTTAATACAGTCTCACACAATACAAAGTTTTCCTGGAAAACTAATGAAGGGAAAATTTTGAAACTTTTTGCATGTAAAAAGGAAGATTAGTGACTCATTTTCCCAAAATTTCAAATTTTTCTAGTGGAAACTAACAACATAAACAATCTTGGAAATCAACCTACAATAACTGAATTAATTGAAAATACAGTCTCACACATTTCAAAGTTTTCCTGGAAAACTAGTGAAGGGAAAAATTTGAAACTTTTTGCATATGAAGAGGAAGGTTCGAGACTCCTCCCATAATTTCAAATTTTTCCATTGGAAAATAACAACATGAAGAATCTTGAAAATCAACCGACAAAAACTGAATTAGTTGAAAATACCATCTCACACATTTCAAACTTTTCCTGGAAAACTAGTGAACGGAAAAATTTGGAACTTTTTGCATGTGGAGAGGAAGGTTTGAGACTTATTTTCCTATAATTTCAAATTTTTCATTGGAAAATACCAACATGAAAAATCATGGAAATCAACTTACAAAAACTGAAATAATTGTTAATAGAGTCTCATACAATTCAAAGTTTTTCTGGAAAACTAATTAAGGGAAAATTTTGTAACTTTTTGCATGTAAAGAGAAAGGGGAGAAGCTCATTTTCCCAAAATTTCAAATTTTTTCAGTGAAAAATAACAATATGAAAAATCTTGGAAAGCAACTTACAAAAAGTGAAATAATTGTTAATACAGTCTCACACAATTCAAAATTTTCCTGGAAAACTAATTGAGGGAAAATTTTGAAACTTTTTGCATGTGAAGAGGAATGTCAGAGACTGATTTTCCCAAAATTTCAAATTTTTCCAGTGGAAAATACCAACATGAAGAATCTTGGAAATCAACCTCCGATAATTGAATTAATTGAAAGTACGGTCTCACACAGTTCAAAGTTTTTCTGGAAAACTAGTGGAGGGAAAATTTTGAAACTTTTTGCATGTAAAGAGGAAGAGGAGAAGCTCATTTTCCCAAAATTTCAAATTTTTCGAATGTCCGAGAACTCCGAGACTGATTTTCCCAAAATTTCAAATTTTACCAGCGGAAAATAACAACATGAAAATTCTTTGAAATCAACTTACAAAAACTGAAATAATTGTTAATACAGTCTCACACAATTCAAACTTTTCCTGGAAAACTAATTAAGGGAAAGTTTTGAAACTTTTTGCATGTAAGGAGAAAGGTCGGAGGCTCATTTTCACAAAATTTCAAATTTTTCCAGTGAAAAATAACAACATGAACCTCCAATAACTGAATGAATTGCAAATATAGTCTTACACATTTCAAAGTTTTCCTGGAAAACTAGTGAAGGGAAAATTTTGAAACTTTTTGCATGTAAAGAGGAAGAGGAGAAGCTCATTTTCCCAAAATTTCAAATTTTTTCAGTGGAAAATAACAACATGAAAAATCTTGGAAATCAGCTCACAAAAACTGAAATAATTGTTGATACAGTCTCATACAATTCAAAAGTTTCCTGGAAAACTAATTAAGTGAAAATTTTGAAACTTTTTGCATGTAAAGAGGAATGTCACAGACTGTTTTCCCAAAATTTCAAATTTTACCAGTGGAAAATAACAACATGAAGAATCTTGGAAATCAACCTCCAATAACTGAATTAATTGAAAATACGGTTTTCCACATTTCAAAATTTTCCTAGAAAACTAGTGAAGGCAAAAATTTTAAACTTTTTGCATGTGAATAGTAGAAAGGTTAAAGACTCATTTTCCCAAAATTTCAAATTTTTTCAATAGGAAATACCAACATGAGGAATATTGGAAATCAACCTACAATAACTGAATTAATTAAAAATACTGTCGCACACAATTCAAAGTTTGGCTGGAAAACTAGTGAGGGGAAATTTTGGAACTTTTTTGCATGTAAAGAGGAAGGGGAGAAGGTCAATTTTTTCCAGTAGAAAATAACAACATAAACAATCTTGGAAATCAACTTACAAAAACTAAAATAATTGTTAGTACAGTCTCACACAATTAAAAGTTTTTTTGGAAAACTAATTAAGGGATTATTTTGAAACTTTTCACACGTGAAGAGGATAGTCAAATGCTCATTCTTCCAAAATTTCAAATTTCTCCAGTGGAAAATAACAATATAAAGAATCTTGGAAATCAATTTTCAATAACTAAATTAATTGAAAATACAATCTCACACATTTCAAAGTTTTCTTGGAAAACTAGTGACTGCTTTTTTTTTTCCAGCAGAAAATAACCTGAAGAATCTTGGAAATCAACCTCCAATAACTGAATTAATTGAAAATACAGTCTCACACATTTCAAAGTTTTCCTGGAAAAATACTGAAGGGAGAAATTTGAAACTTTTTGCATGTAAAAAGGAAGGCTATAAGCTCATTTTCCCAGAATCTCAATTTTTTTTAGAAGAAAATAACATGAGGAATCTTGGAAATCAACCTACAATAACTGAATTAAGTGAAAATAAAGTGTCAGATATTTTAAAGTTTTCCTGGAAAACTAGTGGAAGAAAAATTTTGAAACTTTTTTGCATGTAAAAAGGAAGGTGAGAAGCTCATTTTTCCAAAATTTCAAATTTTTCCAGTGTAAAATAACAACATGAAGAATTTTGGAAAATGGATGTTCAACATCCAACACAAAACTAATTTTTTTTTTAAAATTTCCATTTATTAGTGTTTCTTATAATAAAAATGTGAACCTCAGTGACATCATGACCCTACAATTTCCTTTAAATTCCTCATTAATTCCTTCAAATTCCCCATAAATTTCTCCAAATTCCCTATAAATTCCCCAAATTCTCATACATTCCGATGAGTTCCTTCAAATTCCTCACATTTTTGGCAAAGAATTGCTAGGTGGTTTGTAGTCCTCAACTATGATAAGATTCACTGAAAATTTCAGCTCTTGTATAATGTTTAATCAAAATTTATATTTATTTTTATTAAGAGACGTAAACTTACAATTTGACGATTTCATTTTTTTTTTCAGGACAAACCCTTTCGATAAGAGCTAACGCAGCTTTGGGTAAGTACATCGAAAACAATTTAATTGAAAAGTGGAAATCTACATGGAATTTGATTATCCTAGTGGAAAATAACTGACTATACAAATAGAGTTTTTAATAAAGAATTGATTGTAGAAAACACAGGTTTTTAATCATTTGTAGTAGGTACCTATATGAGATGTTAAAAATGCCTAGAATTATTAAATTAAAATTAAAAAAAAAAAACACTTATAAACAAATTAAGCAAAATTCCTAATTATTATTGACATACAAAAAACAAATAGATATCATAGAAAAAAAGGACGCGAACTCAAACAATCCAATTACATGTTTTTGCATGATGACAGACAAGTTATAATTTCGTTTTAATCGAAAACCTTGACCGTTGGCAATATGCGCTTCAATCTTTAGATACACTTGCTTCTTCGAACTATTTTCTTAAAAGTCAATATCCTCTAGAATGCATCGATATTCTAATGCCAATAATTGATTAAGTATGTAAACACAAATGTTTGCCAAATGAAAAATAAATTTCTCTGTAAACCTTGACAGTAGTTGTCGGGTTTTAGAGGAAACGATGTGTGGGCGCCAACTAGAATAGCAATGAAGATAATTACGTTTACCGAGAAATATCAAGTTCATGGATAAATAAAATACTATCCGGGGAAAATTGTGTTGAATAATAATAATAATAATTGCGTTTTATGTAATAATGATAATATAGGATGAAGAAGGTGAAAATCACTGCAGATTCACATAAAGGCCAATCACAGAAGTTTCACCCATCAATACAAGAAATTTTGACTGTTGAATATCTAGAGTTTCAAGAGAAATTCCATTATTATAACAGGAAAGATCAAACAAAATTCTAGCTTTATAAAATTTGTTTTCTACTTCCATAAATAACGCTCGTCCTTATCTCACCTTTAACTCACACTGACAATTTATCCTTTTGCCCTTTTGCCATCCCACACAAAAATCGGCCTTTGCAACTAGTCTGGACCGCCCCCTGCTGCTGACGGTCTGGAATCCACCGCTCTGACGTCACCGATGCGAATCAACGTCAGGGAAGTTTTCAGGGAGTCAATGTTGCCGTTTATCGACGCTGAATTGCAGTGGGGAGTTGCACTTTGAAGAAAAATGGCAACTTTGCTTTTATGGGAAGTTATCCCTTTGCCCTATTCGGTTTCTGGTTCATCCTGTTACTAGCTTTCGCGGAGTGTGGGTCAGTTTTATATAAAGGAGTACAATATTGTGGATTTTTGCCTTCTAGTTGCATTGATTTTTCATCCTGGAGCTTGTAAGGTGTAATTCGGGTATGTAATTAATGTCTAGATTAGTTAAAGAAAATCATATTTAACACAGAATATATTGTAAATTAAATTAGGACACAAAATAATTATCATGTCGGTAAAAACAACAGTTTGTTTTCTATTCAAGGAGATTAAAATCAATTTGGGTAGACTTTGTATAATTAATTATGGCATTTGTATAAGTAGATAGATGAGTCGTTGATCCAGGTCAGGTCAAAGTTGTACTTACTTTCCTATAGATAGAGATTGGTGATTTTTATCAGTTTAACATTAAAAATTCCATTAATAATTAATTGACGGTTTCACAATTAGGTACATTTTGGATGGTCAGTTACTTGGAATAACGAATAACGCAAATTGAATAATTATTATAACGAACACAATCAGTTGTATATTTTGTACGACGTCGATATTTGTATCAATCAATTAATTAATTTGCTAGTAAAAGGCGTACGACAATAAAGTTTAATTGTCGATTTTCGTTTGTTGTATAATTGATTCTCGAACAAAACAAGTGTTTTTTTTTTTTAATTAATTAATCGGGGGCCTTCGTTTGCGTGATCGTCAGCAAACCTATTGTCCATTGTTTCTGTTATTAAATTTAGAATAAAATAATCTTATACAAAACATAAATTCGTATGCAATTTCCGATATAAATAGATACAGTGGATTAAGCGGAATTCAAAACAAAACAACAGTAATTAAAAAATAAATAAACCATAAACCCTTATCTGGCTTTGTCGCATTTATTAGTATTTCTGTACTGTCTAAAGTGTGTTTTTTCAAGATCTTTTTGAAATTCTGGAACAAAAATAATGTCCTTTTTAACTCTTGAATTCTTGAACCAGGAGTCCTGATACACTATAGGAGGTCCTCTATGTTCTTTTTATTCAATTTTTCTAAAATACTGGAAATCTTTTCCAGTTTTTTCAATAGTGGAAATGGTGTTAATAACTCCAGAAAAATTACATGTAAAATTGCTTTTTGTAAGCGAATTTTGTGAAGACCCTGTCAATACATCTGCCAATTAAAGTTTTGTACCAATATACTCCAATGTCATTATCTTAGAATTTAAAGCTTCACAAACAAAATTATACTTTAGATCAATGTGTTTAACTCTCTTGTTATTTTCTGGATTTTTCAAAAATGTTTTTTTTTTTTTTTACGGATATGCGCACTCGCAAGGAAATGTTGAAAGTTTTAAAATCTCATTTTATGTCAATTAACAAATTCCTAAACTATAAACAATCTTTTACTACTGTACAGGGTGTCCGAATTTGGATGGTTTTAATAGGAAACATCAATTTTTGAGCAAGATACAAAAAAATGAACCCCCCACTCCGAGGCTCAAATTTCTTAAAATTTTGATTGGTGCAAACCGCATTTTGATATCTTCAACCGTTTAGCCGCTAGAGGGCGATTTTCGACCTTTCGAAATTTGTATCATCGAAATCAGCAAAAGCAGAGCTTTCTAATGAGCTTTTAATATATAGGGTGTCTCATTGAAAAAAATCGGATTTTGGTCAATATCTTGAAATCGAGGCCCAATAGAAAAAAACTGAAACCGTCACTGAATTCTGCTTGAAAAAGTGCTTCTAGGAAGTTTTTACGGAAATCAGTTATTATTATAAACAAAAAAGTTACGAAGATTTCACAGTATTGCTCAAAATGGAGAATCTCCCTCTAGCGGCTAAACGGTTGAAGATATCAAAATGCGGTTTGCACCAATCAAAATTTTAAGAAATTTGAGCCTCGGAGTGGGGGGTTCATTTTTTTTGTATCTCGCTCAGAAATTTACGTTTCCTATTAAAACCATCCAAATTCGGACACCCTGTACATGAAACAACTAACTTAGCTTCTGAACTAGATAGAGCTACACAGTTTTGTTTACGAGTTACCCAAGTTATAGTTATACCAAATATCTTTCTCAAATATCCTGAAACCGACTCCCTATCATTCACATCTTTGCGCCAATCAGAACCTACAAAGCAAGCAAACGGAGTTGATTCGTCCTTTCTTTCAAAGAAGGAGGCACGATTTACATTGAAAATAGGCCCCCGTAAATTTTAACCAAATTTCAATATTTTAAAGGTATCATTATTGCAAAAGAAAATTTGAAATGTAAAGAGGATTGTATGTCTGTGATAGCAGATATAGCCAGGGCCGGTCCAATAGCTACTATTTACCGAGGCAGAGTTCAATTCTGGCGCCCCTTCTTCTCAAATTGTATTGTCAAAATGATTAAGGATCAATATATGATAAGCAATGAGTTATGAGTTTTAGGTTATCGTTTAGAGACTACGTAGGAGAATAAGATAAAAAAAGTAACTTCATTTTTTTAAATAAGTATATCATATATTTACTTATTACATGAGGTCTAGTCTCATTCTCATAGAAATCACGAATCAGTCGGAGTGTTTTTGATTGGTGCAAATCGCCAGAAACCAGTTTTCTGATAGTTTACAACAAATGAAATTCGCTCTGATAGGTGCATGTGTGATATCTGTGAGAACATCAGATCTATACTGTAGATATATGTATTAACTAAGCACAAAAATAATTTCTCAAAACTAATTGGATTTTCAACACTAAAAATGAACCCGTCTGGCTTTACATCTTGCAAAGTCAGAGATGAGTTCGTTGATAGGTTTGTTCTCACAGAAATCACAAACCAGTCAGAGGGAATTTCATTTGTTGAAAATAGTCATAAAACTAGTTGTTGCCTATTGGAGATTTGCACCAATCAAGTGTCAGTGGTGATACGTAAATTAACTATTACCGGACAATGCTGTTGGGTCTTTTATCTTCCTATCCTTATGGGATAAAACTTTTTTTTTTATTAACTTGTTTACTTGAAATAAATTTGTTTGCAATTTGGCGCCCCTAATTGTGGCGCCCTAGGCGGTTGCCTCGGTTGCCTGTGCCTAAAACCGGCCCTGGATATAGCTTGTCTAAGTGCCAGTACTTTTGCTCTCATTTGACAGCCGTTAAAAATAATCAGGGGTTTGAATGTGCTCTAACCACATCATACTTTTATAGACCTTGGCCCATGCAAAACTTTGACAACGTATCAAATTCGTTAATCGAGAGCAAAAGTATCGGCCCTAAGTACGTAGGTCCTGCTATGCTATGCATAGGAAATATCCGAGAAAATATCCCTACATTGATTTTCTTGAATATTTCGAAAAATACTAATCCAATTTTGACGGTTTTGGGGTCCTTTTGTAGGTATCAAACCCCAAAACCGTCAAAATCGGATTAGTATTTTTCGAGATATTCAAGAAAATCTACGTAGGGATACTTCCTCGGATATTTCCTATGCATACCATAGCAGGACCTCCGTACTTTGACAAGCTATATCTGCTATCACAGACATACGATCCTCTTTACATTTCAATTTTTTTTTGCAATGATGATACCTTTAAAATATTGTTTGGTTGAATTTCACGGGGGCCTATTTTCAATGTAAATCGTGTCTCCTTCTTTCAAAACCGTATCAATCGTCCCCTTTAAGTATCTTAATATTGTATATCTGAAAATTTTAAATTGTTCAGCTTGTTCAGGAGATCCAGAGTTTATAAACAGAGAAGAGAGTATAGGACAGTTTCCCACATTTGCCTGAGGTCGTCATTAAACCAAAACACATATTTATCCCTATCTGCTTTGAGCAGATACACACAACAAAAATCGTGTTAGGCAATTTGGGGTGATTTATCAATTTTTTAATTTTTCTGAGTGCCTTTTTTCATAGATTTCGGCTTCAAATCTGGCAGTAACTTGGTGTATGGAGCTTGTGGGATATCAAATGACCATTAGGACACAAAATCTCAACATGAAAAATTTTGAAATTTCATCGTTTTAGTAAGGAGGTAGCTACCTTATGATTTAGATTTTGGAAAACTTTCAAAGGTTATAACTTTTTTTCTATTATAGATAGAAAGCTGAAATTTTCAGCGATTCTTATTCCAGTAGAGGACTTCAATCCCTGAAAATTTCAAATCATTTGGACTTATAGTTCCTGAGATAAAATCGTGTTAAGCAATTTGGGGTGATTTATCAGTTTTTCAATTTTTCTGAGTGCCTTTTCTCCTAGATTTCTGGTTCAAATCTGGGAGTAACTTGGTGTATGGAGTTTGGGGGATATCAAATGACCATTAGGACACAAAATCTCAATATGAAAAAATTTGAAATTTCATCGTCTTAGTAAGAAGGTTAGATTTTGGAAAACTTTCAAAGGTTATAACTTTTTTCTATTATAGATAGAAAGCTGAAATTTTCAGCGATTCTTATTCCAGTAGAGGACTTCAATCCCTGAATTTTTCAGCACATTTGCACTTATAGTTCCTGAGATAAAATCGTGTTAAGCAATTTTGGGTTATTTATCAATTTTTTAATTTTTCTGAGTGCCTTTTTTCATAGATTTCGGCTTCAAATCTGGGAGTAATTTGGTGTATGGAGCTTGGGGGATATCAAATGACCATTAGGACACAAAATCTCAACATGAAAAAATTTGAAATTTTATCGTTTCAGTAAGGAGGTAGCTACCTTATGATTTGGATTTTGGAACACTTCTTATGGCATTCTGGTTGAACGCGGAATTCAACCAAATTTTGGTATGTTGTATATTTCGACCTCTCGAGTAAAAGTTCTCATGGGCACAAACCGATCCTATGACTAGTTTCGGATATACGAGGTTTTTTCTAATACTTCCTTAGGCAACCTAAGTACCTATATAAAGTGTACATAAAGGAAAAAAAACTTGCATTTATTGCTTGAAAAGTTGTTTATTTCATCTTTCCCTAACTAAAAATGTTTAGTAGGCGTTCGTAAAGTGCGACAAGTGAGTGAACGTTGGTAACGTATGAAGTAGCAGAGGGGAAGACGAAAACCTATACTATACGACGCGACGGGTCCCCGACGTGGTGCATTGCGAAAATTGCGGTTACCCTGACGCGACGACCCGCGTATATGTATATTTAATCACGCGCCAATCAGGAGCGTTT